ATAAGAAAATTAAAGGAATGGTTCAACCCTTTCTGAAAGAGAATTTATAGAAACAGTCTATCCGAGCTAAAAATTTGCTGAGAGTTCCCCCGGCCTTTGTAGGAGGGTCCTGGAAGGACGCTACTCCCTTCCTCATTCAGTGATGAAAAGAAAACAAAACAGTGGGAGCTAGACAGTCTATGTATCTAATGAGGCAAGCTATCTGGAAAAAAAATAGCATGAATTTGTCCTTGAGGAATATGTTGAAATGCATATATACACGGTGATTGCCTAGATCTCTCTGGCATTTCCACCCTTGCAGTGCTTGGTGTTTTGTATTAATAGTAATCATTGTGTTTCATATTTTGCATTTAGTTCAGTGCACACTTAGAGAGAAGAGAGAAATAATCAATTTCAACATTCATTCTGGGTTTATTAACACCTTTAAATAAAAAACAAATATTCCCAAGTCACCAGCAATACCCTAATTCTGTAATTATTTCTAAATCTGTATTAGCACTTCTGATTAATTTCAGAAGTACATTCTTCCCCTTTTCAACACATTCACTTCTGCTAAATTTTCATCCTAAAGTGATGCTTCAGTTAATCATTTATTTCTCTCATCAGTAATAACCCTGCCCTGCTTCCCCATTGATAACAGTTTGGTTGCAAGCAATGAAGGCCGTGCAGAGCCTGCTTCTCTCCCGCAGCCAGGCTGTGTTACCCACAGTCTGCACTCTCTCATTTTCTATGCATTTCCACATCTAAAGCCTTCTGTTTTCTTTCTCTTGTTTGCTCTTGGCAGCTATTGGCAGGAGACATCCTCTTAATGATCTTTTTCTGGCCTTCTAGACGATTGCTCAAACTTCTACAGATCTTTCATTATTAACACAGAAGCCTTGTAAGTCAGTTTTAATGGCCTGTGCAGTTTTTATTCCTTAGCAGGAGACATCACCTCCTCCATATGGATATATGTTTATTAAAATAAATCCTTAATATCATTTTTCCCAGCAAGAATAATCAGTAAAAGCCAACCGCCGTGTATTACACCTTCTTCTGGTTCATCCAAAAATAAAAACATGATCTTTGTCCCGCGATGCGGATAATCCTTCTCCCAAGGTTGCCTAGGCACCAGGCAGCAGTGAGGTCCCTTTGCACAGCCCTGCCATTCCCCCCAGGCAGAGGCTGCATCCTGACTGCAGCCGCTTCCATTTCTCCAGCGTGGAATTCATTACCTGCTCTCAGTTCCTTCCTATTATTCCTGGAATATCTCCAGTGTCTGTGTCTGCTCTGACAGCGGATAAAAGAAGGATGGGTCATTCATATTAGGGACGTGTAATGAATGCCGACAAACCCACTTTTTGTCTGTGCCTCGACAAATTGCTATTACTGCTCAGCCTTCATTACTCATACATCCGTGCTGATGGTTCGAACAGGGAGACTTGGAAAAGGGGACAAAACTCCGACATTTATTTATAAAGAGTGTCCTGGTTTCTTTCGTACAACCAAGGCGCATTTGTCCATTTCTTCCATTAAATGCTTTCATGCTGTATAAAATGATCCCCATTTCTCTTCTAAATACACCTTTTGAGTCTCAACTGTGAGTTGAATAATGCCATACCCCACAAAAGAAACACAAGTTAGTCCCATTGAGTGCTGGATAACATTTCCATCCTTCCAGTTAAGCAAGAATTGTTTTTTCCTCTCCTTGTTACAACTTTCCCATGTATATCAGGAGACTTCTTTAGTTCAGTAAGTAGCACAAAGGCTGGTGCTACTTCTTTTTTCATCATGATTTCCATCTTTCCCTGTGTACTATGTTTCAGCCATATTTGTCAGTAAAGAAGGTAACAGATATGCCTGTGCATCAAAAGACAAAGCGCCCAAGGATCTGTGACAGTAATGTATCTATTAGTCCTGCAGGATTCTCAAAACTGCGCTTCACCTTTGCTTTTTTAAAACCAGGTAGCCCATAAAAAAGTATAGTCATGGTAATACAGGCTCCTTCACCTATCTTTATGGTTAAACTATGTTTAGCGGCAGCCCCCTTAACATAATAGCCAAAATTTATGTTCACAGATGGCAAATTTTACAGTACAGATCAGAGCAGCAAGGCCACAAATTAATCTCCAGTGTCATAAGAATTTCATTGCACCCCTGTATAGATCATCTTTCAACAAAGCAAGCAGTATGACTGTCAGACCCAGCAAAAGCATTAAATCCCCATTTAGCCTCCAAATTCTGCCCCTTGACATATCTGGGTCCTTCAATTACACCAAGCCACACTGTCTGGATTACAAAATGAAAAGAAACAAATTCCCTGGACCACAGCACAAACAGAGTTCCAACTTGATCTTAAATTCCATTTATTGAATGAAAACAAACAAAAACAAAATTGCATACTGTCAGAGCTCAAGATCAGCATCAACCGCTGTGCTGAGAATGACTTGATTTTGATCTATCATCTCATATGAGCCAGACTGCAATTCACTCTGCTTCACTTATAACAGACATGATTAAAAACAATCAATTATATTAGGCAAAAATATATTTCTGAAGGCAAACATTCACTTCAATGTATTTTTCTCTGGCTATAACACACAAAAATTCTATGTATATAAAAAGCTCTGGGCTTTTACAGACATTAGCATTGAGCCGAAAAATAGGGAAAGCCTGTGAGGGAAACCACATAAATGAGATGCAGGCGCTATAGTGATTGTATTTTCCTCGGCATAATTCCCTGCCTACTATGTAAACTTCAGCTGAATAATCTCTCCACGGGCCCCAAGAATGTCATTGGAAGTACTCATAGCAACAGTTGCTGCTACTCTCTCCATCCTGGAGGATGGGTGAGCTACCAGCAGAATTGCATTTTGCCTCTTTCAGTATTCAACTGAAGGTTAAATAAAATTGCTTGCAGTCTCTCTGATGAAAAGCACAACACAGACAAAGCCAAGGAAACGATGAGACAGGCTAGACTACCTAGAGCTGACTGTGAATTTTCCAAAGTAATGTTTCTGGGCACATAAAATACACTTATTCATTATAACAGTAATATCTCCTGGAGATGAACCGATTCTGCACACTTCTCAAAGAAGGAAATCCCCATGGAAACCTGCCTGCCTGCCCAGCAGCTCAGGAGTGCTGAGATGCACACTCAGCCCCACGAGAAGCTGAGGGTCTTGGCAGTGGCCAGGCTCTTGTGACCCATCTGGGGCTCCTCAATCTGGAGGTTCTCAGCTCCCTCGGTTTCTGCTTCCTTAACACCCCATGTTAGTTACTGTGCTCATTGCTTCCAGATGTAATTTTGCTTTTGGAAGACAGTAAAAAATCTGTCTCCGCAGGAAGATTTCGATGCTTTCCTGGCCAGTGGAAATTTCAAAAACGCCATCTTCATGATGTTTGTTACAAGGCAAAAGTTATTTTTCAAATTCCAATGAAATGAAAACATCCTCACCTTAAGTTTTCTCTAACACGTTGGGAATTCTATCCATGGTGTGGCAAAGAGAACAAAAAACTGAGAATTAAGAGCTGATGTGAAATCCTTTGCAGAGCCTTAGGCAAGTTGCATCATCTCTCTGCTACAGAACTGGGGATCAATAGGCAACAGCTGAAGTCCGACTGCTCCACAAGGTTGGTCCGTCTACTGCACTACTCAACGGTGGCTGCTGGCCAGAACAATGCTTAACAAAGAAAAGCCAGTAAACCCAGACACAGAAGCAATCACAGAATAACTTGCTTTAAGAAGAAGAAACTTGGGAAGTTTTTGTGACCCAAACCGCTGGGTCAAATGGGACAAAAGTCCCATTAAACCCTATAACATGATATTCATCACAAGTATTTGACCCCAGGATGATGAAAAACGCTTGGGTGGGTGGGCCACTTCTTATCCTCTTCCTGTGCATTGTGCTATGAAGCACTTGTCCTGACTCATGCTGCAATCTCTAAGTTTATTAGCATTCACGTGCTATTTCACAAAAGTTGAATAACTTGAAAGTACTGTGTAAGGTTTGCTGTCTGTTTCCTCAGTATCTGTCCCTACAGTGCATTGCTGTCATATTCTGCTCCCATCGTTCTTGGATCAAAAAGTTAGAGGTGAGGCACGAATCCATTCTGAGGTTGCCAGCACAGACTGTAACTCCTTTCCTCCCAAGCGTCTCACATTCTTAACAGCAACTGACACTTTCCAATTACCTTTTGGCCCTTTTATTCCCCAAGTCTGGCTCTCATTTTGCTCTGAATTCAGTCTCTATGCAGCTCTGAACCCAGAGTCTGACAGCTAAGGACATAACAAATATGCAGCACTAACCCTTGGGGTGGTTAGAAATGCCTGAATTCTCCTAATAAAGGCAGATTCACAAATAAAGGTCACCAATATATCTCAAAATTTAAAATTAAAATGGCTCATGCAACAAGCAGTCAAAAGCTTGAGGAGGCAGGATGGGCTGTCTTACAGCAGAGCCAAAGAAGGACTTGCAAAGTTTGGATCCGAACCTTGGCTCTGCCAGAGACTTCCTATGCAAGCTGAGGAAGTCCCTTCTCCCTTCTCCTAGCTCCCCTCTGTACACCACAACAAAATAGTTCCTCACCACATAGGACTTGTACAAGATGTATGCCATTTGCTTTGGAAATATTGTAAGAGAGCTTATAAAAAAGATAGGGTGTTTTGCCAAAGCAATGGAAAACACTTCTGCAAACCATCTAGCAAAATGGATCGCAGCCGTTTGCATGGTTGAGAGGTGTAATTTAAGAGGCAGAAGTACTACTAGAAGCAAACAGAATTAAAACAAAAGATAATGATGCAAACAGTAATAGCTCATACTTTAAAATCAATTCCCATATTCCAAAAAGTGTCATCTACACAGATAATTCAAGCCTATTTATAGTTTTCCCCAGTTGGAGAGCAAATGCTTAAAGTTCTCTGAGGAAAAAACTGAATGTAACCAAAGCAATTACACCTGAGATCAATTTGTCCTTATTTGTTGACTGCTCAGCATAGAACACTTTAGTTATTCTCTTACCTTAATACAAACTGGTCTGCTAGAGAGTCATCGGCCAAGGAAACATGAAAGGTCACAACATCACCTTCTCTGACAGGGCTGAGTGGCAAACAGATGACGACATTCTCATCTAGCCTCAGTGAAGACTGTTTTAATTTGTCGTGATTTGGGTAAACAATGATGCTACCAATCCTCTCCATAGCTGGCAAAGCCTTCTGTTCATTATCTTGACCTGCATGGATATTGTTTTCCCATTTTGCATCCTCTGGAGAACATTCCCCATCTGCTGTATAAATCTTATAGAAGAGCTCCACAGTAATCCCTTCCAGGGAGGCAGTTTCCTCTGAAACCAGGGGTGCAGGGGAGCTGAACCAGCTAGGAGATAATTCCAGCTCTGCAACACATAATCCAAGATGACCTGTCAATCTACAGCTGGCCACAGCTTCTCTAGATTCCAGGAAGGCAAACATCTTCACGCAAGGCAAACTCTCCGCAGAACTATTGTCATCCCAGTCCTTCCCCGCAATATAAAACAAGGTTTGTATTTTAGGTTTGTTGGAATAGATCGAGTTGTCAATTATGTGCGATTTTAATTTCCAATTAAAAGTGAATTTATTTGTGAAACCAAAAGATGCAGAAGACAGCATGAAGTCCAAGGGAACAGCCTGTTCTGCAGAAAAAGGTCCATACGTGGCGTTTAGAATGGGTGGTAGTTTGGATTTGTATATAAAGAATGAATCCACCCTAGACTGCAAACTGGAGTTCCTCATGATATCCTGGTTGACTTCTTTAAGGAAGAAGAAAACATCGGCATTGCAGATGTGATAGCTCGTGGGGAGATACGTTGGCAGGTTTGAGAATCTCTGTATGCTGTCCATGATCCCTCCTCGGCTCTCCACCACTGCAGCCCAAAGATAAAAGGAAACAGAAAGACAATTCTAGTGGTTGCTTAGCAGGCCCCTCCGTTCTTCTACAAACCAATGTATTACCAGGGATCAATATAGTTAGCCACAAATACAAAACAATACAACATGGTTACTGTGCAATAAACACTTTTGGCTCAAAGCTCATACCCTGAATGACATCCCACTCAATCAGCCATACAGCTCCCTTTCCCCCTTCCCCAGGCTGGTACTTACCCAAAGTCCTTTTATCAAGTTCTGGATAAAACAAGAAGACAAACTGACAAGGCCAGACTGCAAACTTTTTACTGGTTGGTTTTTGTAGCCAAACCAAGTTTGTGGTTTGCTCTCATCCACATTGCAATATATATAAGCAACTGGCATATTGAGTATCAGTAGGCAGGAAAACTGAACATTTTCTTTCAACTAACATTACTAATGTACAATGCAGGCTAGGCTGGGGTTTGCAAATCTGCATCATTCCCATCCCACTTTTGCCAGGTCAGTAGTTTGGAAGTTACCTGCACACTGATAAAAGACTTGTGTTCTTGGGGAAAAGAAGTTTTTGCACACAAGAAAATACAGGGTTTGGCAGAGGTCTCGGTGGGATGGATTTACAGGCTAGGGTGAACTTGAGAGGAGAAGAGAAATCCTTTACATGCAGAAGGTTCAGACACTTGGAAGGATTTTTTAGTTTAATTCCAGAGGAGAATGAAACATTTGGAAATCACAGAAGTTTCTCTACAACACAATAGTCAATCCTCAAGCCAATGCTAAGCAACTTTTCCCGTGCAAGAAAAGTTTCCAGAGGGAGGGAAGGATCAAATAGATGTCTTTGGTTTTGGCTGATCTCTAATTAATAGTGAGATATATTCAATCTGGGCTGCGATTCCACCAGAAAGAGGTGGTGGGTCTTTTAAACTAACAATTCATAGGCTCCAACAAAAAGCTAGTGAATGTAAGCTCCTGGGACCACCACAGAAGAAATAAACAGAAACCAAATGAATTAAAATGCAGCAGTTCCATAAAGCACAGAGATAACAAAGAAACAATGACAGATCCTAAGGTCAAAACTCTTGTTGTCTCTTGCAGAAGCTTAGCAGCGATTTTAGTGTTTGTCAGGCTGGGGAGAGCAGATACACAATGTGACAAGCGCAGAAACAATTACACCTGTTACAAGCCGGATGAATCAGATACTTACAGCCACAATTTAGCACAGATAAAAGCTCAAATATTTAAGATTTTTTTTTCAGGTTGTGTATTTTTAAAGCCTACACTTCTCAAAGACACATTCTAGGGCAAACCTCATGCATTTGACTTTGCTCCACTCTTGTTGTCAGTTGAAATTGTGCTCATTTATTTTCAATGGTTTGATATTATCTATGCTCGTTTAAATATTTCTCATCTCATCACAATACTTCTGTCTTTACTTTTGCTACGTATTTGATCTTATCAAGGTTTTTCTGCAGTCATTGAAATATTATTTGTGGGAATGTGTAAATATAAAATGTATATAAAAGCATTTTAAAAAGCTCAGCAGGAAACAGTAGCAGTAATCTCCTCCCTCACTTCTTCACATGGGGATGAGTTCCGGGATTCCTCACAGCTCCACAAGCAACAGCAACTGCAGAGCAACTGCCATGCCGTCTCCCCACTTGGGTGTCCTCTCATTTCTGAGGGCCACACATAAGTGTTGCAGTCCATCTCTCACAGCACACCAGTGCAGCCCATACGCACGCGGCCACAGAGCTGGGCACCCGGCCAAAATGCAGAAACCCAGGTGACGAGGAGCTCCTTCATCCCTTTCCGATGTGGGAGCCGCACTGAGCCCGCCAGCTTTGGAATCACAGCTCTTACACGGGGGAGAGGAAGTACCCCAGAGGAGAAAACCGACCCAGACCCTTCCCTCCCACACCTTTGCATGCTGATGTGAACCCAGTGCAGCTGACACACTCCCTGCACCAGGCAGAACCCAGAGCCCCCAGTTTTGTGTGTAGAGCCATAGGACATGAGTGGTAACAAGCAGCTCTGGAAGGAGATGGAGGCAAGGGGCCAACTGAGCTACCCGCAGCAGCGGAAGGCACAGGCAAGGCAGACACAACAGCAGAAGAGGCAGTGCAGAAGGGACAGACACCGCTGCCCTGCAGCACCCAGCACAGGAGGGTGCCCTGAACCCACAGCAGCCCACGAGAGGGATGCAGGCATGCAGTAAGGCTGGTGACCTCTGCTCAGCAATGCTCCAGGACACTGCTTCTCCACCACTGCCTCAGGGCAGCTGAGGTGCTTTTAGCCCCCTGCCAAACAATAGCGTGCTCGGCCAGTCACACAGGACAAACCTCATCCGGCTCGTAGCAGGAGCAGAGGGAGGAGATCAATGCCTATTCTGGCACCCGAGTCACCAAGGGATGCTTTAGCAGCTCCATTACTGCTCTGCTATTTATAGAGCACCTTGACACAGCGTGGCTTGCCATGCCATTTCTGCTGCTGAAAGTAAACTTCGTTCTTGTGAAAAGCAAGGCAGCGAGGGCAGGGAGAGTGTTGCGCCAAACCCAAACGCAGACAAGTGCCTTCCCAAATTAATTGTAGATAAATCAGGCTACATTTGAAAGCAATACTTTAGAAAATCCTCATTTATCATAAAAATGGTGTTGCCATACAGAAAAGCAAAGGACATACAAAAGCAGCAGCACCTTCTGGTTTCTTGGAGAAAACCTAGAATTTGCCTTCTCCCGGGACACCCTAGATTACAGAGGACACTGACATAGCTCCTGAGCCTAAAGAAAAACTGTATAAAACTGTATACCAGGCAAGACTTATATGCATCTGTGTTTACATTATAGCACTTCCCTGCCCCCCTCCCCCCCCCCATATCCTTTATGCAGACACTTTATCTCTCTCAAGCACTGATTTACAGTAAGTTTAAAAGGTATGTTTTTCCCTTTCCTCCATTTCATTATAGTGGCAACATTCAGTACCTCTTCTGAGAACTAGTATGAGGGCTAGGATATTTGCTGGCTGTAACTCAAATAAATGAGACACAAATTTTGTTTGAAAGCTTATATGAGAAGCCATAAACACTAGTAGACAGGGCTGGGCTTTGTCCTAGAACCAGCCTGCAACAAAATATGATATCTGAATTTAGCAGCATTTTATGATGATCTAGGAATGTCTAAAAAAAATACTTCATACGGTGGCAGGCCAATACCCTGCCTTTTTAATTTGGCATGTCAGCACCACAACATCAATCTCCTTACAGTAACAATCAGAAAAAGGACACATCTCCAGCTTTCTGATGTACAACAAAGCAGCTAATAAATCACCTACTCCTTTAATAACCACTCCATCAAGATCAAAAGAGGGCAGAACATTAGATCAGAACATGGTTTAGTCCTAATTGCAAAATAAAGAAGAGCAAGAGTTGAAGAAAAGTAGATGGAGGCCAAATGAGCATCCCCAGAGCCCAGGGCTACCTCAAAGGCTGAACTCATTTTTTCAGACTATTTTGGGACTGGGGACACTGAGGAAGTAACACACAGACACGATGAGATATTCAGATTGCATTTCTACCATATTTTTTACCTTGTAACACTTTTTCAGATGGTGCTTTGCCTCTTTTAAAGCACTGTTATTCAAACCAGACAAATACCAAGACCTTTGGAGCAACAGGTCAACTGGTAACATCTCACCCCTCTCAATTAACGCCAAAACACTTCTCTCCAGAGCAGGACAACAGCCTCACAGCCCAGTTCTTCCTGCAAACTCTGACAGTGCATACTGAAAGGAAAGTCACTCATGGTATTTCCAAAGAGCAGAGGGAGAAGCTACCACCATGCACAAAACCAAGCACACAATGCCATGGATCAGGGAGATGCTCCTTCCTAGTCCTTAGACTGATCAGCTCACACCTCAAACAAAACTTCCTTTCTGTTATATATATATATTTTTTTTAATTTAGCCACAAAATTATCCACCTCTTCTTTCAATCCATATATCTGACTTGACTCTAACTGATGCCACAAAATGCAGCACAAGACTAAAGCACAAGCAAACCCAAGGGCTGCCATTCATGTAGCCCAAGATTTCATCCAAGCTGTATTTCTTACATTTCATAAATTCTAACTAAGAAGAAAAACAAGTATCCCATAGAAGGCAGTGGTGGCAGTGGCAGGTCAGCATTATAAACTAATGCTTCTATGGTAAGCTGTAATAAGGGTAAAGTCTTGAATTTTTAGTTATGAAATGATGAACTTTAAAATAACTCCTGCTGGAGCATAAATATCTTCTCTCTAGCTTAGCTAATTACTTAACAGGAACCAAGGCTTACATAAGCCCACAGTAATTCTGAAATTGGTGGTGCGACAAACTAGAAGCAATAAAAATATGCAACTTTTTCAATATTCCTTCCTTCTGAAAACAAACAAGAAATCCAATCTTGCACCTGTGAAAAACTGAAAATGTTAAAATCCATTTTTCCTGCAGCATCATCAAAACTGTAGTGTGAGATCATACAGACACTCCTCTTTGTAAGAGAGGAATAATTTCAAGTAATGTGGTGCCAGTAAGTACTATGATGTTATCCATGACTCATACAGAGGCAATCAATGGCTTGTCTGTATATGAGAAAAAATCACCAGCCCTTCCCACCAGCCCTCACTAAAGACCATAAAGACCAAACTACACATGTACATTATTCTGCTATAAAAATGGCTCCATTCATAATAATTAATTTGCTCTGGAAATGCAGGCGTTATCCTTGAATAAAAACACACTGTATCCCAGGATAATGCATCCACACAAGGAAAGCTATTCTAGAACTGCTAAATCATAGAAGAACAATTAATTCTGAATTAATTCTGGACAAGCTGCGTAGGTTATGTTCTCTCATGCACACAAGGGGTAAGACCTGATGCCTGTTGGGGACCCCAGCCATGAGGGGCTGTGCAAGGTGATTTGGCCCGGCTCCAGCTGGGGGAACTCCAGCGTGAACTACTCTGCCTCT